GCGGAGGGGGGCTGTCTGGGTTGCCAGTGGTCAGCTAACCCCTAATTTGGTTTAGCTCCTCGACCAGAAAGCTTTGCCCCATTTCCCCTCTGCCGACCCAGCCAATTCCACTGTTTCCTGCCTCAAGTGCCTTCCTCCAGACAGCCTGTGACCCTCTGCTCAGGGGCCAGCCTCACCTCCAGTTACCATGGACTCCTCTGCTTTGATGGCCTCTCTGGACACAGTGCTTGGCCTCTTGGGACTCTGCTGCCCCTGGGGCTCTGGCGGGGTCCCTGGGGCAGCTTAATCTCTCCAGGGCAGAGACAGAGAAATGAGCCAGTGGATGCCTCCTGGGCTGCTGTTCTCTCCACTGGCAAACGGTCCGTGAGGCGGTGGCCCGGCAGGTCTGGGGAAGCTGCTGGGCCAGTGGCAGGAGTGATACGACAGGCTTCACCTTCCCAAGTTCTTGACGGCCTTCTTGTCTTTCTGTCTCCAGAATCCCCACCCCAAGGCTGAGGCTGGCACAGCTTTCCCCCGGAGGACTGAAGGCAGGGGGTGACCTGGCCTGACCTGGTCCTCTCTGTCCCCTCACAATGGCACAATCAGGACTGATGCTGTGATTCTCTTTGTTTTTTGGGGGGGACTCCTCCGCAGACTGGTCCAGGGCTAGGATGTAACAAGCGCAAGCGCTCAGCAGGGGTTGCTACAGAAGAGCTGCTACTTCAGGCACGCGCGTCCCTGGAAGCTCCCTTTAGGGAGACTCTGCTTCCCTCTCAGGCTGCCCCCCTGGAGTTTATATGAATGAGCAGATTTGGAGGACGCCTAGGCTACATTCCTTGAGAAGTCTGGGGTTCTAGCACCCAGACTCAACCTCTGGGTGAGTCTGCTCTCTCCCGAAAGGACATGAGTCTATGAAAGACGGAAGCCAGGCCAAGGCGGTCCATATCCACCCAGTTAATGACAAAGGCACAAACCAAGGATAATCAAACCCTGCAGCGAGTTGGGCAAGTTACAGTATGAGCACTTGGGCAGGGTGATGGCACACATCTTCCAATGCCCAAAGGAAGGCAGGGGCAGTAATCCTGCTATAAAGCCAAGGAAAGGCCATGGGGAAGAGCTAAGTTTAGGACCCCCAGTCCTCTTAGAGGCTCTTGCTAGGCCAATAGCCGTTTTCTGGTTGTTGAGAAGGTCATGTCAACAGAACTTTTGGGGACAAATGCCCATAAATCAGAGTAGCCAGACTGGGCTGTGGGGCAGCCGTGGAGGTGCTGTGTTCCTGTCTTCCTTCAGGAGAACCTGCTGTGAGAAGTGTGATTGGCTGACAGCCCCCAGCTGCCGCCGCCACACCTTTCTGTCTCCTCTTGATCTGCCTCAGCATTTGTGTGGCCCCGCCACCCCACCCGTTCCTCCAATAGGTAACCTCTGTCTGGGATTCCCCACTGGTCTTGCAGAGACTTTCTTAGAGCTACACAGTAACCCGAGACTCCACGCAGTTCTTCCTTCGCTCTCTTCTTTCACAGGTGTCAGGCTCTCCAGCCTACTGCTCCCTTCCCCTTTATCCTCCACAGCTGCTTCTCCTATAAATCTCTTGCACTTCTAATTCTGCCTTGGCGTCTGCTTCTCGAAGGACCCGAACTGAAAGTCTAGTATATCCCTGATCTAGGCCCAGTACTACTGGAAAGTTGATTCTCAGGGTGGGCAAATCTGGGGAATTTCTACAATAGCTGGAGAGGTCTGTGGACAGAATCACTTGTGGAGTGTGGGAAAGGAGGGCCGGAGATGGTTGCAGAAAGCAGGGAAAATGAACACAATGCTTATCAGCAAATGCAGTGAGCTGGTAACTTATGATGCGTGTTCACTTGCAAAGGAGCAAACATTAGGTGGAGCTGGGTTTTAATCCCAACCCCTCCATCTCTTCGGGCAAGTCACTTAGGCTTAATTCCCCCAGCTATAAAGTGAAAATAATTTTGCTTACCTTGCTGGATTGCTGTTAGAATGGAGAGGGTGCGTGCAAAGTACTTACCAGCATGCCTGGCACAGGTGCTCTGATTTCAGAGTAGCTGTTGTTAATTATTAGTATACTTTCCTCTTGCCTGAAGCCAGGCAGGGGCTGTTTCAACACGAAAAGCACTGGATTCACCCTAGGAGAGGGCCGGGTGAATCTGGGAAAGGTGAGGGTCAGCTGCTCCACTCAGATCTTCCTTCCTACAGTGGGTCTACGTGGTGGGACCCTCCCGAAGGGCGGGAATGAAGGTGTGAGAAGAAAACGGAGAGGAAACAACCTCAAAATTTAAGGTGAGATGGTTCCTGGGCAGAAGTATCAGACAGGATGAAAAATGAACCAGAATTGGCCTGGAAGTGGAGTCAGAGCCAGACCTGGAATGCCAGGCCCTTTCCGGCTCCTCCCCTTTCCTTTGTTCACCGCTTTCAGCCGGTGAGAGAAGTTAAACAATTGCCAGCCCCATCCCCCTGCGTCCCCGTCCCCGGGGAACTGGGTTGTTGGGATGGAGTGAGTTCTGAAGGGGACCCTTATCCTCATAGTCAGTGGCGTCGGACTTGGCTCCTTGTGGGGATGAGAAATGCTTCAGTGCAAAGGGAGAATTCCAAGAAGACACAGTCCAGGTGCCCAGTCCTCAGAATGCCCCTGCCCCACCCCTGGCAACCCGGAGCCTGCCACCCTCACACTCTAGCTCTGGCCTGGGTGCCCAATATAAAACAGGCCACACTAGGGCCAGCTGGACCCCCACAACTCTCTGCCACCTCCTTGGCAGCTTCTTTTAGGAGGTCGATTTTCCTAAATGGAAAGGAATATGGCAAATTAATTTCCTCGGGGGCTGGCTCTAGGGGAAAAAAAATGACAGTAGGTGGCAGTTTGTCTCAGCAGTCCCCCTCATCTTCCTGCCTCAAACCCTCCTCTCCACACCACAGGTGTCCGGTGCTGGCTGTCAGGATGCTCTGCGGCCTGCCACCCTTTAATGCCTGAGAGGAGAGTTGTCAATAAGCTAACCACATCAAGGACTCCATCTGTCTCCCACTCCTTCAGGGACTGGTAATGTCAGCTGGGCTAAACTGGAATCTTTGCCAATGATGGAATTAAAGAACCGAGGAGGGAGAATGTGTGTAAATGCCCCTAATTATGACCCCCACCTGCCCTTCATCATTTTGTTGTTAATCCTCACACGAGGACATTTTCCCATTGATTTTTAAATAGAGTGGAAGGGAGGGAGAGCGAAGAGAGAGTGTGAGAAACATGGATGTGAGAGAGACACATCAATTGATTGCTCCCTGCATGACCCAGTTCAGGGCCGGGGATCGAACCTGCAACCCAGGTATGTGCCCTTGACTAGAAATCGAACCCTTGACCCTCAGTCTGTGGGCCAACGCTCTAACCACTGGGCAAAGCCGGCCAGGGCTGCCCTTCATCTTCTTAACCTCTGTATTCATTCCCTCTGGTCTCAAACCCTACCTTCCACAATCTCCATCTCTCCCGGCTCCCAATTTGGGAGCACACAGACCTGGGGTAGACTTTGGTTAGGATACTTACCCTCTCTGTGCCAGTATCCATGTCTCTAAAACAGGATAACACCTGTGGCATTGGCTGCTGTGAAGACTGAGATGAGGTAAATACAGCAGCAGGGCCCAACATCCTCTGGGTTCACTGGGGTCCAGGCTGCAGGCCTTGTAAGGGGGACTGAATAGTATAGGTCTGAAGCTGCAGTTCCCAGCCAAGGAGGAAGAAGCTGGGACAGGGTGGGTGGGGGTGGCGGGCCTTGTGGGGCCAGAAGCTCAGAGAAGGACTGTTTGCAGAGGAAGTGAACCCACAGGTCAAAGGGTCTTTACCCAGAGACTGGGTGGACACAGTGTCCTGGCTTCTCTATCCCCACAGGACAAAAAGGGATCAGATGTTCAACTAGCATCTCAAAGAACAATCATTGAACCACATGCTGGGGTGGGCCCTTTTGTTCATTTTGTCTTCATTAATCCTCACAGCAATCAACATAAGATGGGTGTTATTATTCCCATGAGACAGTGGAGTAAGTGGAGGCTCAGAGAGGTGGTCACGCAGCTGATAAGCAGAGGTGGGACTTGATCAGTCTGGGTGACTCCAAGAGCAGTGCTCTCTGTCCTGTAGCAATATGTACACCTTGGTTCTGCTGAGCCATGTACATGCCTATCGTATGCCAGCCCTTTGGCTAGGTTCTGGGAACAAGTCAGACATGGTCTCAGCTTTGCACAATTCAGTCTCAGTGGGGAGATGGACAAGTAACTGGGCCATTACAACAACGCGTGGTAAGTGTCTGAGGTGATGTCCCCAGAGCCAAGGGGACAGTGAAGAGTGGCACCTGACCCAGACAAGAGATCAGGTAAGGCAGGTAAGGCCTCCTGGTGAGTCATGGCAGAGAACTAGGAGTGCCCATAGAAGCCCCCCACCCTCCCCCACCCTCCCCCACCCCGCCCCAGTTTCTCCTCAGGCCAATGGCAAGATGGCAAGGCTAAGTATATATCCTCCCACATCGCCCACAACTCTCTCAACATAGGTCAGCAAGAGCCTGCCCCTTGCTCAACCGCCTTGCCTTCCTTATAATTCTCAAGGCCAGGAATATCGTCCCCTTGCTCACACAGCGATCCTTTTTTTTAATCTGGGGGACTCCTCAGTCAAGAACGATTCCTGCCTGAGAGGAAAAGGAGCCAGTGTCTCACACCCACCTTTTTCAGGGAATAAGCCATTCCTAATGGGGTGTGCCCTTCGGTGGCATCCCAGAAACTGAGTCTGTGATTGGGTATAGCCTATGGGGAGCCCCTATACTCTCCATGGTAGGGCAGTGGCCCACTATACTGGCCCAAATAAGTTACACTTTGTCTTCCTTTCTCTACCTACAAGCTCCCTCTCCTGACCTGGGGAGACAGACATCTGGGAGATTCGCTCAATGCACAGGAGCTCAGAGGGAGAATCAGAGATGCTGACTTTGAATATAAAACAGCTTTATTAAAAATTCAGCTATTAGGAAAACAAAGCCTTCATATGGGTTCTATCAAAAAAGTACAAATTTTAAATAAATGTGTCAGAAAAGTGGCAGCCAGATACACCAGCCATAGTCACAACCTTGCAGCATAGGAGGAGGTGCTCAGAACCCCAAGAAGAGGCTGGGCACAGGGGTCTTTGGATGCCTGCAGGGCTGGGTCCTGGAGCTACTAGGCAAGAGCCCTAACTCGGTTTTCCCTTCCTTGGAAAAACAGAAAGAACATGGCAAGTGTAGAAAATTCTGAGTCTGAAGCAGAAAGGCACAAAAGTTATTTGTAAGGCATGACTGCTAATTCGTGGATGAATGGGCGACCAGAGCCCCAGGGTTGTGTTCCTGATGGGTGGCACCTCTGGGTTTGGCCACAGGTTAAGGTGTGCCAAGTAGACTGCCCACTCCCTAGAGTCAGTCTGTAGAACAGATGTGTTGTTGCCTCATTGGCAAACTGGTATCTGGCTCTGCCAGGACAAGAAAGATCACACTGGCCTGCAAAAAATACCCCCAATGGGAGAGTACCAGACCTCCTGTCCAACCCTGTCCTCTGAGCCACAGTGGATACCCACCCTGGATAAAATACTTCCAAGGGCAATCCCTGCCATACAATATCTGGAGAAGCTCCAGGCCTCAGAGCCAGGGTTTCTCTGAACCGCAGGCACAAGAAGCTGGCATTATCAAAACCAGTCCCCAACAGCTGCTGGCCCATACCCTTGGTCACTGGTGACAGGCCTCCCTGGTGACATTCGGCAGTGGGTAGGCAAAGAGGGAGAAGTCCAAGATATACTTAGGCAGCAAATCCTGCAGCAGGGACCGTGGGGCACTACACAGGTGGTAGTGCAGGCTTTCACGGCTGGCAGGCCGGTACCAGGCCTGGCGAGCTGGGAATCGGACATGGGGTGGTGCCTGCACCCACTCCAGTACCTGGTTGGCATCAGCCTCCAGCCTCTCATAGGAGCCTACAAAGTCATAGCGAACAGCACAAGGCTGGCATAGGTGGTACACGGGCATCCAATGCTCATTCATGCGCTCAGGGTCCTCATCCACTAGGTACCTCAGGAACTCGGAGAAGGTGACATCGTCCCCGGCAGGGCTGGGCCCCGCTCCTGCTCGGTACCGCCTCACAATCTCGGCCCCATAGCGCTGCTGGTACTCTCGGATCTCGCCGAACTTATTGCGGTAAGCAGAGAGAAGGCGTTCCAAGGGGTCCCGCACAAACAGGAACTTGAAGTAGTGCTGCAGGCGGTAGCGAATCTCCTCAGGTCGCAGGTCTGCTAGGAACACCAGGTCATTGCGGTGGTCCATCTTGAGGCGGACGTCCACACTGTCCAGGACACCCGCCAGCACCTTCAGCACCCGCTTCCAGTTGGAGCAGGCCACCTTGGGGACGTAGCAGTAGAGGAAGCGGTAGCGGTCACTCACGAGGATGTGGCGCAGCAGGGTGCGCCGCTGTCCCACCGGCAAGTCCCAGGGGTCCCGGGGCATGCCTGGTTGTCCACACACTGCCCGCAAGGTGCGGTTCCGGATGTCCTGCCTCACCTGCAAGTCCGAGTCCCCGGCATCCAGGGACAGCCCCCCAGGCCGGGGTACTGGTCCACGCCAGGCTGCACCCTCACGGTTGGGAGGGTGCAGGGGTAGGGGCTTCATCTCGGCCAGGATGCCCCGCTCGATCATGAGCAGCAGCCCGCTGGAGGCCACGATCACCCCGAACATCAGCATGGACGGCAGCAGCAGGGGAGGCCCCCCCAGCCCGGTCCGGGCCCTGCCCAGTGGGGTCCGTCTCAGCGCCCGGCCCAGGGGTTCAGCGCCATTTGGGGCCGCCAGTGGGGTCAGCGGGCGGGGGAACATGGTGCTCTGGGGGTGGGGGCCTGCGCGCCAGCCGATCCTGGGGGCTGCCTGCCTGGGAAGCGGGCTCTGGCTGGGGGGATGGGCGGAGGCTGAGAGTTTGGGGCCGGCTAGGGTCTGGGAAGGGAGCGCTGACCGGAGATCCCCGTGCGCTCGGGGGTGGCCGGCTCCGGGCGGAGGCGCCGGAGCGGAGGCGGGCGGCGGACAGCGGACAGCGGGAGGGCGCAGGGGAGAACGGCCGGATATCCCGCCCCGCAGCTCTCCGCCCCCGGCCCGCGGTGACACAGGCACGGGGGCGGGCCCAGCCGGGGGCGGAGAGAGGGGCGGGAACCCCTGTAGGGAGCGGACTGGGAGTGCGCGTGCAGACCCCTTACCCGGGAGAGGGCGCCTGACGCGGGGCCGTCCCATTCCCCGGGTTTCGGAGACAAAAGCTGACGAGGTCCCGAAGGCTTTTCTGCGAGTGCTTTCAAGGAGTTGGACGGAGTGGACCTGCACCCAACACCCAGCCGCACACTCTTCCCGGGCTGAACTCTTCCTTTTAAACAGCTGGAGGAAGCCACTCCCCCACCCTACCCCACCCCCAGCGCTTGGAGTCCAAACTTTTGAGAGTCCGTTTCCAGCTTTTAGCAAGTCTCCAGTGTGCTCCCCCTGCCCTGTTCTGGCCACTCCAGTAAAGGAGGAACAAGACTGCCAGGCACTGACCAGTGGCTCTTCTCCATGGTGACCCTTCAATTTAATTACCTGGCAGATTAGTGTTTATCCACTGGATAATACTGAACGTCCTTCCCCCAGGCATGAAGCTGTGGGATAACTGGGACACACTCTGGTGAGGGGCCAATGACAAGTTGGTGTCTCGTGACCGATGGTGTGGTCAGCACACATTTTGAAGGGTGAGCAGCTGCGGCAGCTAGCTTCCATGCCTGGAGCCAAACATATGCTCAAAGGCACCCGGTTGGCCACGTGGGCTAGAGGCAGATGCAGAAATGCCCTGGATGTCAGTGGCCTGACTTTCCCCACCTGAACTGGACACCTTCCTAAGTATCCAGGCTTCACCAGGGAGGCTCTGAAGCACAGTAGTAATGTAATGAGAATCCACATTTCTTAAGGCAGGTGCCTATTCAGTGTTTTATATTCTATTTGTTAGGTCACCCTGGGAGGGAGATGACATGACCATTTCCACTGTACAGCTGAAGAAACAGGCTCAGGGAAGCTGAGACTGCATGGGTTAGTCTGGTTCTAAAATCTAAATTCCTAATCACCATCCTTCAGAGATGAATGGAGCACAAAAGTAGAATGGGAGGGAGAAAGCAGCTGACCCAGGAGGTGATGGCAAAAAAGTAGAGGCCAGAGGCTTTGAGTTTAGTGGGAAAATGGCACTACCGTTGATCACATGAATTGGAAGAATGAGGGGTTCTGAGGGAATGAAATGAAGCAAGAAGGCTCCTGGATGCCCTCCAATCCTAGCAATGTAAGAGCACACAGGTTGAGCCTTCATTCCCTGAGCAAGGAGTGCCAGTTGCTAGATACTGGGACCCTAAGGCCCATTTCTGAGCTTCCCAAGTGCATGACCCAAGGTGGTGAGGTGTGACCTCCCCTGTGCAACTTATCAGTTCTCAGGTCACCAGACAGGTGGGGGCTGGAAACCAAAGGATTTCAGTCCAGGCAGGTAGCTCTGGCTACCATGGTGCTAAGAAGTCAACTCCCATTCCCTGTCTCCTCTCCTCCTTCCTCTTTCCCTCTACTTTTCTCCTCTCTGCTGACTGGCTTTAGTGAGCCCCTGCACTGCAAGGGTTTTAAAGGAACCCCCAAAATAAAGAGTAATGAGCACCTCTGCACCCACACACAAAAATGACAGGACACACAGGAAGGAAATGATTATTTTCTAAATCAATACAATTTCTCAAATTTATTTATTTTTTCTTAAAGAAGTACTTCTAATCTCTGTCGAAAGGGAAGTGAGGAAAGGTCCTCCCTCCCTTGTAAACACTGAAATACAGATCTGAGAAACCAGGGTCGACACACACAAAAAGTGCATTTTACAAAATTATCAACTAAAATATATTTTACATGAATTATGCTTCCATTGAAATTCTACCAGCTGCATTTTCAGGTTCGAAAAAATATTTCCACATCTAAGAGATTTCAAAAGCATTTAAGTTCTGGGCAGCAGACCCTGGGAGGAAGGGCCTTGATCTCTCCTGCTGGGTGGGGCTAGGCTCCTAGGTGGCAACAGCCCAGCACCCTGGGAATCAGCAGGCCCCAGGACTGGCTCTTCAGAGCTCCTACCTAGCCAGCCTCTCCTACTGCACAGTCCTCCTGGACAGATGCCTTTCTCCAAACAGCTTATTCCTTTCAAAGGAACCTGAGTTCCTTCTCTTCAGATTTGGGATTAGGTTTTCCCTGTGTAAATTCACCTCTAAAGCCTCCAGGCCTCCCCCACCTCAATGACCAAGCAGGAACAGCCCAGTTTTCTGAGGAACAGCACAGGGCCAAGGTTGCTGGAAGTACCCTCAGAATCCAATTCCACCTCCTTTTCCAGGCCCTGCCTGTCTTCACACCCAGTGCCACCTTCTCAGCCTGCTGGGTCTGTGTCTGCCCCAGCCTGGGGGTGAAGGACCCACTGCTGCCCTCCTTGGCCCCTGTCCCCAGGGATGTGCTCACAAGCAGGTTCTTAGCAACAGGCCCAAGCCACACGGGGCTCTTCTCTCTCCCCGCCATGCTCCTCTTTGGTACAAATAGGAAAGAACCAGGCTGCTCCAGCCCCCTCACAGAGAACCTCAGGGCCAGGGCCTAGTCCTGGCAAGGACAACAAGGGGCTGAGTCTAATTACTCCCCAGAGTAGAGAGTACATGAACAGGGCCCCTGGGCAACAAGAACAAACAAAATGCAGTCCTTAGTTCCTAGAGTGAGTGGCTGCAGCTCAGCAGGTCTGTGGACTGATACAGTGTTGTCGCTGGGATGTAAATTAGTGCAATCTACAAAAGACTAGGGTAAAGGGTGGCAGGGCAAGGGGAGCCACAGCACTCCTTTGGTTTGATTTCAGGTGGGTGTGGCTTGAAGAGTCATGTGTTTAGTTCTGCAAGAGGTTTCCTAGAACCTCCAGTGTAAGGCAAGAGGAAAAGTTTTCAATAAATCAGGTAGCAATTTTTCTTGCCCCCTGCCCCCACTCCCTCCCAGCTCCCTTTTGCGCTCCCAGACATGACAAACCCCATGTTGATCAGTTAACTTCAGGAAAGCCAGACCTGCTGGGTGGCCCCTCACCAGGAGGTGAACAGGAAGCTGACACCCATGACTGTGAGGGCCAGGTAACTTGTCCCAGCACCAGGGGCTACTGCAGGGGCAAAGGAGGAAAGCCAGGGAAAGGCCCTGAATCCAGGAAGAGGAAGTCAATGCTCTGGAAGCCAGAGTCTGGCTCTCTATGCCTCAAAGGAACGAGCTGAGAGCTGTGCTAGAATCTGAAAGAGGCTGGTCCCAGGCTGATGGGGAAGCAGTGGGTCACAGTGGGTGAGGTAAAGCTGGCTCCCACTACCCCTTGAAGGGCCCAGAGAAAGATAAAGAAGGGCCTCTGTTGGGTCTGGTTCCTGAAGGACCTCCTTCCTCCCCCCAGGCCCCATGCTCCTCAGGCTTGGCCCAGCCTCAGGGAAGACAGCTTCTTCAGGAGTCTCTGCCCAGGAACCACAGAGAGGTCGTACCCTGGACCAAGCTGAGGGCTCTGATGCTTTTCTTATACCCTGGCCTCCCCTTCCCTCCCATAAGACCCAGAACCCATAGAGGCCCCTGCCCTATCCCTAAGAGAACCACAGGCCAGCAACCTCAGGTCCCTGTGGCCCCTTAACCAAGTGCTGTGCTTCAAGCAGTCCCCTTGCCCTGAGCCCCACTTGCCCGTGGGCAGCCCCAATGTGGGCAGGAGGAGGCTACTGGGGGTTTTTGAGGATTCGGCCATGGCGGAAGTCATAGACGTGGCGGCAAAGAAACACCAGCTCAGGGTCCGTGTCCTCGGGCACTGTGCGGTGTGGCGGGGTGGTGTAGTCTGCCGAGGGGGGCACCAGTGCTGTCTTTCGGCTGGGAAGGCCCTCGCCCCGGCGCTTGGCCATGGCACAGAATCTGCAGTGACACACCCATTTGCTGTTATCAAAGCCACCTTTGCAGAAAGACCAATTCCTTTCCCACCCTGTTCAGAGAGCAGGAAAGTCGCCTCTGACTCCCGCAAGGGCTGGTACTGTCCTGGGGGCTACACGCCCTCTGCTAACTGCCAGCCTACCTTTGCTGTCCCTGGGGTTCCACACCTGCCAGGGGCTCCTTCATGACCACCTTCCAATTCTACTTGATTTTTTTCTGATAGCAGTACTGTAACCATCCCCAAATCTGTCCAACCACTCCGCCTTAGACAGGCAACAAATTTTTTCTTCTAAAAAATCAGATGGCAGAAGCAGGCTGGAAGGAAGAATATTCTAGGACTTCGGGCCCAGTGAGATCCCCTTGGGGATCACAGGCAGCTCCCAAATAGCCCTGGGTAGTCTGAGGGGAGAGGCTAGCCAGAGACACAGGGCACCACCCACCTGCAATACTCTGCAAAGGTCAGCACATAGCACTTCTCCTCGATGCAGGCTACACTGTTCTGGTCCTGATGTCTCGATGCAAAGACTTCATTCTGCAAAGGCTCAAGGGGAGAGAGGAGGAGATCAGTTACAGGGGTTGGAAGCACCTAACTCCAAGGAACAGGTGGACATGAACCCCAACCCCTCAGCTGGGACTCCAGACCTGAGATCACTCCAGCTAGTGCCCAGAAAGCCAGAGAGCTTCCCTGGAATGTGAGCCTAACTGCTCTTCACCTGGCACCCCAAGGCATTCCTCCCAGATTCTGTGCTACTCTGGAGAAACCAGGTGCCCCCCCTTCCAGCCCGTCATTAAGCTTCCTAACCCCCAGCCAGGGAAGGAGAGGGGAGTTGGTTCGCATCTTGCCAAAAAGTCCCAGAGGGAAACAGTAGAAGTGGACCCAGAATGGGGGTGGGAGGCACACCCAGAGGGCATTACCACTCCTAGCACACGCCTGGGTAAGGTGCTAAGGGATGTTAGAAGCAGGCAGTCTTTCCCACTCCATCTCATGCTGCACAGAGCATCAAAGAGGGCTAGGTGTGCAGCTTCACCTCCCCTTTCCTGTCAACAGGAAAATACATCCTGCCACCCCCTGCCCACAAGGGCTCCCCCTTCCTAGACAAAGGTTACTATTCCCTTTGAAACATGAATTGG